GTTGATAGTTTACAAGTCGGACTTTGGTAGCAGTTGAGAGTGTGTTTGCTTTAGAAACTTGTTGCAGACACCAATCTGCTGTTTTCTCAGCCCTCAGAAGGGTGGAAAAATGTCTTAAGCAGACAACCACTGAATTTTTTCTCGTAACACACTGGTCCTTTCTCTTTTTCTGTCTCTTGGCTGTTTATATCCCTTAAGTCATGGCTCCACATAACTTATGGTCAGTGAATAAATCTATGTTGTACCAACTTTCTATAAATTGGCAAAAGTAAATCACTGCCAAATAAGCCACTAGGAGTTCTCTATCAAATGTAATATTTTGTTTGGGTTTGAAATAATTTCTTCAAGAAGAATCCTATAGGTACTCAGGGTTTGTACAGGTCTTGGAAACCTTGAAAAGTCCTGGAAAATTGATAGGGACTTTGCCCACACATCCTTTTTCTCAATTCAAGAAAGTCAAAATGTGAAATCCCAGAAATCTGGCTTTTTTACAAGCCAAAATTGTCCTTTAAATGTTTTTTTAGGCGTCAGTAATATTTGGCAATTACTGAAAATTGTGGTTTGTTTCCTTGGTTAAAACAAGTTCATGACCTTGTAGTTACTTCTGTATTTTCTTGTCTAGGGGATGATAAAGAACATGAAGGTGTGTCTTCTAGCTGCTACCATCACTCAACAAGAAAAGAGGCAAAGCAAAGATAAAAGGCGTGAGAGACAAGTAAACATCACCATCAAAGATAAATTTACACTCATTAAATTTGTAGTTGAAAGGAAAATAATTATTTTACAATAATAAAATACATTTTAGTAGAATCTTGAAAAATTTATCAGTGTTTTTTAAAATTTGAACAAATGAAAAATTTTATTCTCATGTCAATTTCAAAAGTAAAAATTCCTTTTCATTTCTTGTCAGCTGGTGGATAAGTTCATACTGAAAAAATAGATAATTTATGTGTAAATTATCTTTGTCTAAATTGTTGCCAAAAGTAACAAATTTGAGAATCAAATTTGACTCAAAGAAAATGTAGACAGGAAGAATGATAGAAAATGTGCCTTTGATGTGTCTTAGGATAGGATACAAAATATGTCTTTGAAAAAAATAAGAAGATTATTTTTAAAATTTCCAGGTTTTGTTGTCAGTGTAAAAAAATGATGCAATATATTAAAACTTATTTGGCTTTTATTGCTTGGCTTTATATTAAATGTTCAATCTTGCAACCCTGTCTCTTTACTTTTGTATTTCTACCATAGATGGCTAAAAAAATGTACAAACACATGAATGACTGCTAGACATTTGACCAGATGTCATCAATTTGAGAACTTAAAATTAAAAAATAATAATAATGTCCCTAGACCAAATCCTTCTCTGTGGTGCTGTTAAGCATGAATGACATTTTATTTCCACTTTGTGCCTGTTTTGAAAGACATTGAACTGTTTCTGATAAAATATCAGAACAATGAACTGTTGTTGCAATTCCTTGCAGATGATCTTTTTAGCATGATCATGAAACTGTTAAGATTTGTAAAAGAAGAGTACACGAAAAAGATAATTATATTTTGCAAACTGAATGAAATCCAAACATGCATAAAAATGCTACAAAGATCAAGTGTGGATTTCTGGCAGATTTTTAAAAAAAAAGCAAAATGTGTCAAGAAAAGATTTTTTTACATGCAGAATTGCAACAAAAACAATTTTCATCACCATCATTGAGAAACTTCTGGCAAGTTAGATAGTTCTAAGGGTTCAGCCATGCAAGTGACCTTATGTCACTTGCATGGCTGAACCCTAGATCAATTTGGGAAAAAATCTGCTACAGCAGACAGTCTAAAAAGGTGTCTTTCTTACATGATGGATAGAGAACAAGTCAGCAAGTCTGATTGTGATGACATCATCAGTTAGTACAAAGTGTTTAAGGAGGAGGCTGCTGGAAATATTGCTTTCAAGTATTTCAGCAAGCATGAAGACTGTCTGGACACTTTGTTCTACTCTTTTTTTGTCTAGCTACAAAGAATATCAAAAACTGGAAAAATGTTCACAGATTGCTGGTACTGTCTCATGGACAGAGAGGTTTCACACTCGATATGAAAATTTCCACCAACAATATGAAACAGCAGACTCTGGTTGCACAACACATTATCACAGACTATTTGGTCACAGTTGAAGGTGCTGGGAATGTTCCCATAACTAGGGCTCTTTGTAATGCTTCCAATGTTTAATGAACACAGGCGCATGGCTCTCCGTATTTATTCTATAGTAGACACTACAGTACTTTTTGTTTGTGATATGAGGTGAAATCATACTAGGCTGCACATATCTATCAATTTTTGTACAGGACTGGGTATCTCAAACTCATTTACTTCCAAGTAAACTGAACTTGATGATGAATTTACCTCAATTTGTTGCTTCATAACTGTATCCCTAATACACCTATTTCTGCAGTCTACTATTAACCTAAAATTGTTTAAGTCAAATCCCCAAAAATGAATAGGTGACATTTATGACCACAAAAATCTATTGGAACACTCTTCTTAAACAATATCTTCACTTCTATGATAGCTTGGTCATGGCAGTTTTTTTTTCTCACTACTGGCAATAGAGATAGACACTGGCATTGACCTTAACTTAAAAGTCATCAGCCTATAACAACCAATCAAAAACTTGCAAACTTTGCTTGGAGGAAAAAATAGCTATCATTACTTTCCCCGACCAAAATAAATTATTAAATAAGAGATCCAAGCTCATCTCAAAATGCAGGCATGAAAATAAATTTTTACTACGTAACCTAAAAAATGAAAAACGGAAAAAATAAAACAAACAAATACACTAATAAAAAAAAAATAAAATAAAATAAAATAAAACAAATAAATAAAATACTATGTTGCTTAAAAACCGAAAAGAGAAAATATACAAATAAATTGACCTAAATTCATCCAAGTAAATAAATAGACAAACCAATCCCAAATTAAAACTGTTCCATAAAAATAATAGTTAGAATGAACTACAACAACCAACCCCAAAATTGAACAAATAGCTTTAATTAAATTCTCAAACCAAAACAAAACTGTTAAATAAGTGATATAAACAAATTTTTACTACGTTAATAAATAAATAAATAAAATAAGAAACAAAAAATAAAAACGAGCAATATAATTTGACCCAAATAAATAAACAAAGCGACTTCCGGTAAAAATAACCAGCATAATAGAATACCCACAATGCACCACTAACCCGTATATATATAAATAGCCGAGAAAAATAACAGCATATGTGGCCTGACGATTGCATATAGCATGAAACAGACTGTCGCCTCTAAGTGTTGACTTCTATGTTCACTTTTATATTTACACACGCTCTATCTCTGATATTGAGCACTTTATCCCATAAATATAGCACACCTTAAGACTATATTTCTTTTTTATATATATATATATATATATATATATATATATATATATAATGTGGCCATGCTGTAATCTCTTAAAATGGCAGTTTCCACTTCTTGGATGGTGTCATCATCAGTAGCTGACTGAGGGTGACCAGGAATGGGAGACCATTTCTACTGAAGTCTGACCACATCTGAAATGCCAATACCAGTATTAATAACACTATAGGATAGGGAATCTAGTCCATACTTTTCCAGAATCATTTGTAGTGTGTTGGCTTTCAAAAAGAAGAACCTGCCTACTGCTCTCTACTCTTCTAACTCCATAGTCACATTTTACTGCTAATTCATACCCAAAAACATTTATTCTACATCTTCTCCTCATATCAATGTCTAAGATTAAAATGTGTAAGTGGCTTTCTTTTCCTTAAAAGAAGTGTTATGGTGACCTATCTCCATTAGAATGAACTCTTCCTCCTTCATAAATACTAATCTGAGAGATTTCCTTAGTCGGCAGTCGGGACGCAGTGTAACCTGATAGTTTGAACGGACACTTCTATCTGCTGCCTAATAACACTCTTATTTTGTATATATATTCTGTTATTTCAATACACTTGTTCAACCTACCTTCTTCTTTACATGTCTTTCTTTCTGGCCCCTAACAGGCCACAACAAGAAGTCTTAAAAAGCAAAATTTACAAATACATACATATGTATAATACTTATGTATAAATTTAGTATACATTTAAATTTAAACAACATCAGTCTTCAGATAAAAAGATGCATGCATAAACATGAATGTGTGATTGTTAATAGTTTGAAAGATAACAAAGCATTCACCAAAAAAGTATTAAAAAATACAAAAATAACCTTGAATAGAAAAATAATGTAACACATTTTCCTTTTATTGTTTTTTCTAAAATTAAATGTTTAAATTTTGAATTCATTTGTTCAAATAAATAAAAAAACTTAATTCATTTTGGAGTCATGTTGGACTGTTCCCAATTGCTCTTACTTATATGAAAATGACACACATGTCATCATGCCATGAAATACTTCATAATAATTCTGTATTATCAAAAATACAACAATTATTAGATTCCATATTACATAACAATATTGTTGTAATAATTAAGAATACTACTGAGATTTTTTTATCTTTTTCTTCTTCATAATATTTCAAATAGATTGATCTTCAATTAATGCCTGAAAATTATTGGAAATTGACATATATCAAAGTACAGAACTTAAGAAAAACATGATATTCTGGAAGAATTGGAATAAAAACAAACAAAATATCAAGAATGTTCAAAGCTTTTATGAACAGGATTCTTCACATTCTACTCTTTAAGCTGTTTTTATATTTTTATACAAGTTTTTAAATTTACTCTGTATTGTTCTTAGATCTCTTTCATATCATTTTAATAGTAGTTATATCAATAACTGGGGAAAATGTTTATTTTGAAACATCATGATTGTTATTTAATTCGCATAATTTATATAAAATTTATTAAAACTAAAACTTTGGCGTATATTTTTTTAAATTACTTTTTTTTATCAAATTACTTTCTGAATTTTTCAAATATTTGCAATCATTTTTTTTTGTTTTTCCTTTTTCAGAAGACATTGATCCAACAGTGGGCAAATTCAGGAATTTGGTTCAGACTTCAATCATCCCAAGCAAAGTAAGTAGTCAAGCGAATTGATGAATACTTGTTTTTATTCTTTTGCTTATAAAACAGTGAGACATTTTTAGAATTAAAATTATGATTAATTTTTTGGGTGGTTTGCATAATGTCAAAAGGATAACTTGCCTTGAAATAGAAAATAAGCATTGATAACTAGTTCTCATATTAAGTTTGATGATTCAGATATTTTACAGGTTTTAAAGTTAACTTTGGTTAAAGTTAAATTTTTCATTCTTGAAAAAAGTGAGTCAATTTTTTCCCTATACAATGACATATTTCTAGCTTATATACTAAAATATACATATTTAAAAAAATACTTAATAGACATGATGGTGATGCTAATTTTTATAGAATTATGGTTACTTGTACATTTACTCTTTACTTTGATACTCAATATTTTTCTCTTCTAGCGAAGCAAAGTGGAAGCAAGCACTGGTTCCAGCAACATGGGAGTGGAACCTTCAAAGCGCTCAACCAATTTTCCTTTCAATACTCCCAGCTTATATGGTGATCTGCCTCCAGGAGGCACCACAGATGGTCAAATTGGTGGGACTGGTTCATACAGCATAGCTGCAAAGTTAGGATTGCCTATCCCCAACCTTGCTCCAAATTTAGAAGAGGAGGAGACAGTTGTACCTGTTGTAAAGCCAAATCCAGTTGTGCTAAATGCAGAAGAAAGTACAAAGGAACCCAAAAAGAAGAAGTATGCAAAAGAGGCTTGGCCTGGAAAGAAACCTCTGCCTACACTGCTTGTCTAAAACAAGGGGGAGCCCATGACAAAAACATTACAACTGTTGACACCCACTCAATTGTTTCTTCTTCATCATCATCATCATCGGGCCTCTTTTATTCATTTTTTTACATCGCATGGAGTAAGTGATCAAATGCTCAGTTTAACTTAATGCTCATGAGTTATTTTTCAAAAGAAAACAACTGAAATGCAATCATTTCTTATGTGTCAGCTGGCTTGAATATGTCAGTTGATATGTGAATATGGAATCTTTTGTGAACTGTTTGACTCTTTCTTTTTGGCAGCAAACTGAACATTCACAATAACAGATGACCATCAGCTCATCGGAAAAACGAATGAATTAAAAATAGTGTGAATAAAAAGAGAAGAAATAGAAAAGAACAAAGTCATTGTTAATGTTTTCTCATCTTTTTTGCTATTCACATCTTCCATTTTCTTTTTTTTTTATTCCAAAAGACTGCTGTCTGTTTCCCAGTTTTATTATCTCAATTTAATTAAAATGTCATAGAAGCTAACCTCAATCTGTATAAAGCTTCAAACAAAATGTTTCATCCATGTTTCATGTGTTTTAGCTTTAAACACTTCAATCATGATAAATTAGAATACTGATATCCAGGTAGGTTCCATTTTCATATTTATCTTTGAACAAATATATTCAGCTGATATATCATTCTTTTTTACCTAGCATTCAACAAAAATGTAAACTCTATATCATAATGCAAACATATATATATATATATATATATAAGTAAATATGTTACTTTCTGCTTATTTTAATCAAGTAGCTATTTCATTATTTTTCTAAATTAAAAAAAATTACTCCATTGATAAAAGCAATTTTTTTTACTACAACTTAAAATTTTTTTTACCAGTGTGATCTTTTATTTAAACTAAAAATATTTTCTTTAATTAAAAACAAAATTGACAATGTATATTTATCTTTGCATAAAGAATTCCCAATGTAGAGTTTAATTTCAGAACGAGATCTTGCAAATTTTAAGAGGATGAAATTTTAATCTGGTTGTAAATCTCTTTTAAATAAATTTGTATATTGAAAGTTTATATTGTATTCATTACATCTCATCACAAAATATCAATGTAACTTTTTTTAATGCATTTACTTTTCTGATTCCAGATTCCATTTAAAAAAAATTGCTGATACAAATAGTATTTAAAATTGAAATTACTGATTAGGGTTTTATATATATATATATATATATATATATATATATACACACACACACACACACACGCAGGCATATCTAATGCTTTTTGATTGCAGAAATGACAGTCATTAGATAGGTTTTAAATCCATCCTGATCCACTTACAATGCAATATACTGCAGACTATTTTCCCATAACAATAACATTTCACCATTCAGATAAACTTATAAAAAAATATTCATTTTGAAAGAAATGTTTGCACTTTGAGCAAGTATATTTCTTGTACAAAATCTTTGCAAGATGACAATTATATTGATATTAATGGTTTTATTTAGAGTAATATCCTTATCTTAATATTTTTGTAATATTATTTTCTGCAGTTATTTTCCAGTGAAATATTAGAAACTAATTTTACAACTATTAGAGAATATACCAATCAAGATATAATGGCAAATAAATGTTAAACTGTCTAAAATCTATAATGTTTTAGTCTAGTTTAGCAAGATTGTAGTAATTTTTGTAGTTACTGTATTGTCTCCTCCTGTAAAGTTGAAAATAGTAAGTAAAAAGTCAATACATAAGTATTTCTACTTTTTGCATAAATAGTTGATTCTAACTTTTGCACTGACGTTGTATTGATTACCAAAAATCAAAAAAGGTATCACTCTTAGAAATAGAAAAAAAAAATTATGTTAAATTGAAAAATGGTTTAGGACTGAACTTCAACGACAAAACATCAGCTTTCATACAGATCAATATTTATTCATATAAGGAATGCTTTATTTTTCTGATCCCTCCCACATGTCACAGGAGGAACATTTTAATTAGAAACACTCCTCTCACCTTCACAATGCTATCAAATGATTGATAATGGCAGCTAATGGATTTTGTTTTAGTATCAAGTTAGAATATTTTCATTACCACATTGAAATGAGAAGCTATTGCTGTGTTGTCTTCTTATTGATCAAAGTCATAAAAATAACTGGGTCATTCACTTTTAGTTTTACTTTGAACAAAATCTGTTTGTGATATTTTTATTCAAGCCCAAAATATCTTTTATCAAAATGTTCCAATTTTTGCAGTCAAACCATGAGAGGCCAGTTATAAATGCATTTATAAATGCACTGCAAAAACATCCTCCACTTTTATGTAAATATTTTTCTGCTCATTAGACATTTATAATCAACTGTTGTTTTTATTGTATAAGTTTTGCTATTGTCTAATAGTTTTGTTGATTATTGACAAAGCACGTTCTGGCTTGTTTTAATTGTTTTGAGAGAACTGTAAAGAGAGAATTTATTTTTCTCTTTTGCAAAGTAGTTTATTCAGTTACTTGTCACTTCTTAATTCCAAGTGAATTCCATCAGTGCATCATGATAGGAGTGGGGGGGTATAAAAGAAGTACAATATTCTTGATTGCCTGCATAATCAGGATATTAAAGAATTTATCTACTGTCCATAATGTTATTAGCGCAAGTTTGCACTCTCAAAAAAAATGTTATCTTTGAATTTTCATGTTAGGAATAGGATTGTTGTCGTGTGAGTAATTCAAGAAGGCATCAATGACATATATTCACATGTGACATTGACCACTGCCAGAGAAACTGCATAAGCTATAAATATTCACAGATCATTATATTTCTTCAATCTCTATTAATTTGATTACATCTTTATTTTCTTTCACATGATGCTAGGTGGAAGACATTTGAACATATATAAAAAGAATGCAAAACTGTTATTTTTTCAATTCTTCAGACCATCATTGTTTAATACTAAAGCAATGCCATATTAATTTTTGTTAGACTACTACAAATTTTACAAGTACATTTAATGAATCAAACCAACATTTTTATGTTCTCTTGCTTCCTATAATTACTACAACTATGTCAGTCAAATTGCAAAATGTAAAGTAGCATTCCCAGTGAATTCACAATGATCACAAAAAGGATACTATTCTAGTTACTACACTAATTTGAATCTTGTCACTAAGGTGGGAATGCCAAAGATTTACATGTGGACCATGGAGACATTAACTTTTAGCTGGTTAAGTTAAAGTTGGATCACAGAAAAACAACTTTCCTTGAGAAAAATCCTGTTTCCAGTATGTCTTGCTGCTTTCACCATAAGAATATTTTTAAAAAGTATGAACTGAAGTTCATGTGTTAATTATTTTATAATCTTTACTTGTTAATCAAAAAAGAACTTTTGTTGTGAGAATTCATATCTATTTTGAGTTAAACATGAATGTAAGTTTAAACTTATTGAAATATGTCTGTTGAAAAATAGTTATGATCCTAAAATTTTAGCAATATCTTTACATACAGTCTCTTTTTTAACCTTTTGTGTAGGTATAGAATATATCAGTATGTTAAGCTGTCATTGTATCATTTCAATTTTGATAAAAAATCCTGTTTTTGTTTTTTTTTGTAAATTGCAAAATAAATGATTTATCCCCGAGCAGTTACTATTAAAAGAATTTTTTTTTTACAACATTGTTTCTGAATATTAAAAGCTAAAAATGTTGCCTTCCTTTTCTATGGCCTTATTTCTGTTGCTTATGTAGCTTAATTATTATGCCATGTTAAAAATAAATACTTTTGTTAAAGAATTATTTCTACAAATATTTTTTGCTCATAAATCCATTTTTCTTGAGACTAGACACATTTATTTATCAACAACTTTAGATTTTATTCATTAATTTAAAAGAGAGAGCAAGACTTTTGAATTCTTGAAATTTCTAAATTGGCAATCTATTGAATAGAAATATTTACTTTCTCTTGAATTCCATCTCTAAATCATTTGAGTCAGGCTTAGAATTTCTCCTAAATGCAAGAGCCTGCTAAACATGGATACCATTCATTCTTATTCACCCAACAACAACAACTATTAATATTCAGGTGTTGAATTCTACCTGTACACGTGCCTGTATTGGTGTATTTTCAGTGCCAATGTTCAAAATGATAATAAATCATTTGACACACTCTTGTATCATATATAATCTCCATTTTCTATCGTTTGAGTTCTTTATGAAAATTTTTTACCAAAATATCTTTCTACATTAATATCTTTACCTTTAGTTTTTTTGTTTTTTACAACTTGTAAATAATGATTTGTTTCTGTAATTCTTAATAATAATATTGTTCTTATATAAGATTTGAATGAAACTTGACAAATGAAACTATGATTCCCATAAATTAGGAACATTTTCATTTGTAAAGGAATAATCTAAAAACTTGTGTGTGCCATAAAAACCGAAGGAAAAGAATTGTTGCAAGAGGGTACTGAATATTTATTGACCTGACTCACTCTAAAAAAATCAGTATTTCAATGGCTAAACATCAATCTTATTTTGGAAGGATTCAAAAAATTTGAAAAATGATGTACCAAGTGTGTTGAACTGCAAGAGTGAATATGTTATGTAGGTTTCATGGCTCTTGGTCAGGTCAAGATGTTTTCAGTACCCCCTTATATGGTTAATGAAGCAAATTCTTGATTGGTTTTGTTTTTATCATCATTTCATTTATAAATGTCTACATAAAAACACAATCTTCCAATGGTGCTAATTCTGGGCATTTTTTTGTTATGAAATAAAGGTTTCATTTTGATCCATTTATCAAATAATGATTGCTGAGGCTATTTACTCAGCTAAGAAATGTGTATTAAAATAACATATTTAGTTTATACAATATCAGTATACACTCTCACACAGTTCTTAAATATGCATTTTGGTATAAAATCCACCATTGATTATTATGGTTATTTTGTATGTCATAAGAAGATGGTATAAAAAGGTCTTTTTGTAATATGTTAAATTGAAAGGCCAAAAAATGAAATACAGCTACT